GGTCTGTAATCAATAACATTTCATTTGAAAACTATGTGTGGATATAATAGGCAACATTTTCAATTCAAAACCCCTTTTTGCTGCTGAATTATTGAATAAATAGATGTATGAGCCACCAGTGGGCCGAGCGGAATGGCTGATGTCTCACTTGTGCATCAGATTTACGGTGTACCAGAAACGCACAAATGCAAAGGTTCCATCTGGAACAAAATAAAAATGTGTTTAAAACATAGGCTTAAACTAAATTGTGTAAAAATAAACCAAAATAACACACTAAAGTGGCCACTGTTCTGTGGAAAGCTGAATCTCCACCATCACAATTTACAAAGTAACGTTTATGGTTGTAATTGGTGAAAAATGTTATCAGCATGAATACTTTTGCATACACACTAATAAATCTTCTGTCACAACATTTATAAACTAACCTACAAAATTCTGTAGCTATTTCTGGTCCCTAATTATTCCTGCAATCAAATGAGGATCACATTGTAACCTTACAGTGTCATTGTTAGGCCTGAGGTGAGAAGGGAAGGTGTGAACAGAAAAAAACACAACTAAACAGCAGATTTAAATCCTCAGATTTGACAGATCTAACCCATCATCCCTCATCCCTGCTATAAATATTCTGTGCATAAATTAATGAGTCAACAGGAAGGTTTCACACTGGAGGGCAAAGGTTCAGGTAAAAGTGTACTGTGAGCATTTGAGCAAGTAAAATAAAAGCTGGATTCCAAAGAAAAGGTAAAAATGAATCATTTGGTAGAAGGATTGTTTTTCCTGTGTTGACAGCTGCATGGATTTACATTTGAGACCATAGCTTTCTAAACTTGTGTAAATCAATTGCTTTATAAGCATCTACAATCTACTTTGTATCCGTAAGCTTTTGTTTTGTCCTCTGAAAAATTCCTTTTGTCGATCTGTGCATTCAGACTATGACTGAAGCTCCGTCAGGCATGTGAGCGCTCAAGCTCACTGACTTTTAAAGTTTACAGTGGGATTTTGTACCCATCGGGTCGCCAAAAATCACAGACTACTTGCAGGAAAGAGATGGCAAGAGCTCCACGTTTCTGGACTGCTTTGGTTTATGCTGTATGGAAAAGTGAACAGAACAAAGCACAGGAGGTGGTGGTTCAAATGTTTTAGAAATCATTTAAAAATGATTTAACTAATATGACCTTGTCAGCTTCAATGGCTGGAGGTGTGTTGGCTAAAGTCGGCCAGCTGACGTTTGCCATAAACATCTGTGAAAGAATTAGCCACACTCAGGAGCTCAGTGAATTCCAGCTTGGGTCAGAAGCTGCGTCTCCATGTCAAATGTGCGCAAAACTTTATTAATTCTGTTGATGTCAAAAAAACACAATTTTACAATTACGTAACATAAACGCATTTAAAATCCCACGTGAACAAGTTTGTCCAGGCGAGAAGACGCTAAAAAACATGCCGCGCCATCATCCCCCGTACCACTTCCTGTCTTCTCTTTGTCTTGTCACCGTTTGTTGATCACATGACTTGTGTGATGTGAAAAATGTCTGACCATTGCAAAAGGTTCGACAGGAGGGTTGTGACGAGAAGAGGTGGATGACATGAGGCTGATTTTTGTCACACATCTGCCACAATGAGAACCGATTTCGGCAGTTTGGCTCGAGGCTTCCTGCAGGAAGGCTGCAGGAAGCCAGGCAGACTCTCAGGAGACAGTTTGTCCAGTACCTTATAATCAACAGTCAACAACAAAGATTTCAAATCAATTTCAAAATAAACAGCAAGTCGGTGAGGAGAAGCAAGTAGGCTACTGGGGAAATATGTTCAAGCCTTTTGGTTCGTGTCAGAAAATAAACTGCAGCATTCTGGATGGGCTGTGGAGGCTGACCTGACTAACACTGACAATAATCCAATTGTAATATCTTAAAAAGGTTGGCTCACCCATTCAAGGTTTTAAGAACATAGAAATCCTTTCAGTTTTGCTGTAAAATGCATACCTTCTATTCATATTAAAGTTTTCGATTTATAGTTTTTAAAAAATGAACTAAATAGGTTTGGGGATTCTTGAAAATGTCAGTCTAGAAAAGGGAGGAAGTTTGATATGAAAATAGGTAGAAACTCTTCAATTTTTTTTTACACAGTTACACAGCATATTTTTTATGGAGCTTTTTTTGTTGGAAGATTTTTCAATTTATTCAATAAAACAGAATCCATCAGCAGTTCCAGCAGACTGAGCTGAGGATAAACTAAAACAACTGCTGATTGGACCCGGGTAATTCTCACCTGTCTCTGCCGCATTGCAGAAGTTTTCCACTCACGCTTCTCTGGGGAGACGATTTGTTTAGATTTGGATAAACTGCTCTACACACAAATTGTTGGTACGGTAATCAGAACATGCAAATCTGACAGCCCATCTGTGGGCACAGATTTTATATCTGTGTAGAGAAACGATAAATCTATGTTTACAGAAAAAAAAACTTGAACTCTTGGTGTTCTGCATAGTTCCCTGTGCAAAGATTTAGAACAGTTCTCTACATAAATAGAAGATAACATAATTGCATTAGAGCTGGCTGCATGCAGAGTGAACTTATGCATTGTGTCTCGGTGTCAGCACAGCCTTACCATCTGCCACAGTGACATGCAGCTCCTCAGGTCTGTTGTTGTGCCAAATCAAAAAGAGGCTATATGAGTTAAAGTGAGGTTTCATAAGTTGAGCTTTTATGAAGAAATAGAAAAAAACCAGCAGGGGGAGTTTGAGTTCTCACCTCAGGCCAATTACAAATATCGAAGTTTTCAAAAGTGTTGTGTTTAAAACTGATCAAATTCCTACACATTTAAAGCCACAGGATGTGACGTTTATAAAAAAATATATATATTTTTTAGATATTTGTTGAAACGAACCATGTCCTGACACTATGGTGTGAGACAGGTGATCTGTTGAGAGCTGCTTTGCCTTTTCCCAGTGCTAACAAAAAACAACCAATCAGAGGCAGGAGGCGGGTCTTAGCGCTGTCCATCAAGCATACCCTATTGGTCTATGCTACAATACAGCTTTGTGAATGCTAAGGCTAGTTAACATGGCCACCAATAATGGCAGATGAACAAGTTTTGATGTAATGGTAACTTGTTTCTCCACCTTTAGCACATTCACAGGTTGATTGACAGCACTAAGCTCCTCCTCCGGCCTCTGATTGGTTGTTTTTGGTACATTTCTTCAGACGGTAATGGCAGCATAGGGAGGATTTGGAGGAGACTTTTTTTCACAGTTTATCTGTCTCATATTACACTGTCACAACATAGTGACAGTTTCATTAAATATGTAAAAAAAAAAAAAATTATATAAAAGTTACATCCTGCAGCTTTAAGCCCTTTCACTTAGAGCAAGGAGGAGAGTTTCAGAGTCGTCTTAGTCACTTAAAGCAAAGCTCCGTCTCCCTTTGTTTCCAGCTTAGTGTGGTGAACTATCAGCAGCTCCTTATCACATGACCTCAGAGGCTTTCCTCCACCAGTCTGATGCATCAGAGGACTACTGGATGCTCTGGAGTCCTCTGATATAACCGGCCGCCTGGACAGGAAAATCGAACCAAGTCGGAACAGGAATTTTGAATTGCGTTCCGGAATAAACCAGATGTAGCAGTGGAGGCACATGTGAGGCTGGATGTTTATTTCAGAAGCCTGGTAGCAACGTTCTGAACAACCTGCAACCGGCCTTTATTTGATGAAACAGAAACGATGAAATATCATTTCCAGTTTGGGATGAGCTGATACAGCAACAAGTCTCAAATGAGAAAGTCAGGATTGAACCAGAGGCTTTAAAAGTTAACAGGACAGACCCAAGTATGAGTAGATGCATCAAAATCAGAACGGACTACAAAACAAGGATGCTGTTGTTGCCCCTGCCCCACTATTGCTGCTCACTGCCAGTCAGCTGACTGAATGATGGTTACTTCACCTCAGTTTGACTGCTTGAAAATATCCCTGCAATAATATTATACGATAGAAATTACAGATCAGTTCTGACGGTTCAGTTTTGTTTTAGTATTTACGTCAAAGTAACAATAATTGAGTATGATAGTTATTGTCAATATCAGTATGTTTGTTTTTGCAGCAGTAAGAATGTTTCTTTTCTGTTTTCCTTTGCTTAAAATTAATTGTAATTTGTCTGAGATTCTTTAATTTAACTCAAGGTGACATTATTGTAGTGACCCATGCGCATTTTTGGAAGAAACTTAATTTATCTTGTGTTTTTCATTCTTTTTGTATTTGTCTATCTTTTCCTAATGATGCTTTTGCAGCAGGAGTTATAATACAAATTGAATTAACGTGTTGGACCTTTTAAAAGTACCTTTCAGCATTTTATTGTTTATTTCTCCTTTTATTAATTGGTTTTAAAAATTGACAAAAGAAAAATCAATTTTAGTTTGAATATTGAAAGAAATGTTTTCTCAATACCAGCAGCTCCTCACCGTCAGACATTAATAACACTAACTTATGTCCAGCGATGAGTTTTTTTTTGTTTTTTTTTTCCCCCTCTGCTGGTGTTATCAGAACATTGAATTGAAACCATTCATTCCAGCTCTGCACCAGCTCAAACGCTGGTCATTTTCTTCTTCATCCTGATCTCTTCTTTGACATCTTTGGGGTTTCTTTGAACCAAGCAAATGCAGAACTGCTATCAGTGATAAAATCCAATTTTTGGTAATAGCCTTTAGATAGTAATAAAGATGAGATCTCAGTCCCGCCAACAACGATATGACATTGAGGGATCTTCTTTAGAAAAGGATATTTAATATGCATGAGGTAAAAGAGGGCAGGAAATGAAGCTTCTGTTCAGCAGAGATATTTATGTGCATGTCTGTTAACCAGAAAATGTGTGTACGTGCGACCAGATTGACTTGGCGGTGTGTGTGTGTGTGTGTGTGGTTTTTTTATGTATAAAACCTAAGAAACTGCTTACTGGTGACTGTACTGACTATTTTTTTTTCTCTTGGTTTTTTTTCTCCCACCTGCTGCACATGCAGAGAAGTCTCAAAGTTTCGTTTTCTTTGATGACGGTAAGCTGTGTTAATTGGATGAAAATGTCAGCATCAGCCCCTGTGAGGCTGCAATCAGTCGTTCACTTCTCTACCAATCACCATCAGTATGCCATTTGTGTTTTTTTTCCCTTCCACACTCAGGACTGGGTTGATCTATCTAGTCATCAAATGATTACAGACACCAGGGAAATTTCACAGTGTCACAGATATGCCTCTTCACCTGCCCCTTAAATCTGCCGCAGGTCCATCCAGCAGAGTCCGTTACTTTGGTTCTTTTCTTGTGCAACAAGAAAAAGGAACAAAAGAAAGAGACAGCTACTTGTTTAGCCCTCAGGTTCCTACTCATTAAACACTTTCAATTTTGATCACGTTTCAACTGCAGTCATTACAAAGCAGCACATAATAATGAAGTGGAAGGAACAGGATACATGGTTTTTAAAAAACATTGCTGAAAAAAACCCGGCTTGTTTGGTGTACACAGATTTATTTACATATTTTTGCCAGTTACCTCAAAGTGAAACAGTCATTTTATAGGAATTCATTAAATATTTGATGATTTTTATTTATTTTTACATTTTTAATGATTTTGGATTACAGGTAAAGAAAAGCCACAATTCAGTGTCTCAAAGTCTGAAAATCACATTAGATCACTCTATGACACACGTTTTACAGTCAAAGTCAGATTTATTTTCAGGGCACATTTCAGCAACGAGGCACTAAAATATAACGGTCATCAATTATGAAACAAGAAATGTCATTGCATTTTGTCAAATTGCAAATACCAAGTCATTCTCCCTGTTGTTGTTCCATGTTTTACTGCCACAATTTGTCCCTCCACTGAATTTTCTGTGAATATCGCTGGATTCAGAACTCTGTGAACAACCAACTTCTAAAGCAATGACCTTCTGGTTTCCCCACTTTGTGACAGGTGACTCTTTACAGGGTCAGGAAACCTTTGCAGGTGTTTTAAGTTGATTAGCTGATGACACAAAGAGTTTCCATTTAACACCTTTTTCATAACATTCTCGTTTTCTGAGACGGTGAATGTATGGTTTTCACATCAAAATTGCAAGACAGAAAGGCTTGGAATATGCTGCTAAAAACCCTCCAAACTGTCCCTGCTGTTGGGACTGTTAGTTTTCTCCACTGTTTATTCAATGAGAGTATCATTACATATCAACAAATTTAAAAATAAGATTAAATGCAGTAACTGAGTGGTTTAGTTGTTCAAATCACACTTGTTTATGTGACTGCTGTCCCAAAGACGGGCATTCCAAATGTTTTTTGAGATGCTGTGACATCCACTCACAGTCATACTGTTGCCTAAAAAAGTAGTAACAACTAGTTTTAATTTATTTTGCAAACCTGATATCCTTCTCTTGCCACTTCACAAATACAGACAAATTGCGTCGGTCTGTCGTCTCAGATTCTAATAAAAACAGATTGATGTTTCTGGTTGTAACATGACGAAACAAAGAGTTTTATAAAACATGATTTAAATTTCATCAAAGCCTCTCAGGGATAATAAAGTTTGACCTCTGACCCAGTCCCAGTGGCCCCTCTCATCACTATTTGACATCATAGCCTTTGTGAGCTGCAAGGTGATTGGCTATGATGGATTATTACTGAAAACGTTTCACCTGCTCCTTCAGTAGGGAACATTCCCCTGGTTTAATCACCGTCTTCAAAGCTCCCCACACTCACAAGGAGCCAATCTTCTTTTTTTCTTTCCCTCCTCTGTGGTGTGTGTTTGTGAGTGTGCGCATGTGTTTACCGACAGGTCGAACAATGGTCGAGGCCACAGTCGATCTTTTCTCTTTTTTTGCAGCACATGATCTTTATTAAGAACACCTCAGGGCATAATAGAAAAGGTTTTTATATGCGAGGGCCGGGGGGGTTTTTTTTTCCCTTTTTTTTTTTTTTTTTTTTTATACACATTTAAAGAAACACTGATAACCTCTGTGTTCTTTTGTAGCAGCTCATCTCTGTAGACGTTCTCCTTTTCTTTGATGTTCAACTGGCACACGGACCAAACGAAATATTAACATTTGAATTATTGGCCTGGTTTAGCTTGTTTATAAATTCATCTCGCGCTTATTTGTCGCTGTCGGCCACAAATTATTTACTACCTTACGGGATCTGGGGGGGAAACGGCAATCTGGGTTTTTTTACCCTACAACCAAACTGCATGGATAACACAATAAATGATTCCACCAAGAACCCAGAGATCAAAGTGGGCTATCCAGCCATCCATTCTTGCCTCCTTCACATTTATTCATTATTTTCCATTGAAGTTTGTCACGTTTGATATGCTGTGTGTAAGCATATGTGATCTTTTGTGTGTGTGCGTGTGTGTGTGTGTGTAGAAACAGCAGTGTTTGTATGGCAAATACTGACGAAACCATGCGGAAATCTTTACTTCAATGACAAGATTTGAAGAAATCTCAATTAGTCACCTAGACGATCACACCAGCAGTCAATCCATACACATTCAAGATAGTTTTAGCCATAAAATCCGACTTTTAAATTAGATTTTTTTTAAATCAGCCATATGGAGCATAAGTACCGTAATTTCCAAACTACTAACTGTACCTAGACATAAGCCGAACACTCTAACTTACAAATTTTGTTGCACTCATCTAATAGCCACAGGTGTAACATGAGATATTACATGAAAACATCAATTTTTGTTTCCACTTTTAATGAAATACGTAGTGGTAAAATACACAGATATGTACAGTTTCCAATTAGACTGTGACCCTGCTGCTGAAAACAAAGCAAAAAACAGGAAAACATTTTTTCTCCCCATCTGAAGTTAAATCAGACCAAACATTTATTATTTTAGCTTAGTTAGGATCACCAAAAAATTATTTCTATTTGCTAAATGCCAGAAAACTTAGCATTTAACCCAAATCATGAAGTTTAGAAGATAGTTATCTCTGACATGCATGTAAACTTTTGGATTTGAGGAAAGCTGCAAAACCATCTCTTGCTAACAAAATGTAGTTGCTAAGTTTTCTTTGCGTTTGCCCAATACAGATTCCAGCTGTTTTGCTCTATTTCCGCACTTTGATATTTCCGATTCAAAACATCTAAATATCAAAGACTACTTGAGAAAATACAAAATTTAATCTTCTATTGAGTCTTTTTGCATCACTGTGATGGAATTGTTGAGCATGAAAAGCTTCCTCAGTGTAATCCCATTTCATCTCAGGTTTGTGTCGTCTTGTGCTTTGGATCATTGCAATACTAAGACTTGTCGATCTGAAAACCTCTAACCAGCCCCATCACAGTATCTCTACCACATGTGACTGTTGGTACAATGTGTGTTTTTCTGAAATGTGTTAATTTTATGATAAATCTAATGTGGTGCACACCGTCCAAAATGTTCCAGATTTGTTTCATTGTTTGCAGAGGAGTTAGAAATCACAGAGATTGAGAGGTTTTTTGGGGGTAAAAAAAAAAAAAGGAGTGGATTTTTGGTCAGTCGTGGTTTTCCCCAGTTGATGCAATTTTTTTTTATTATTTTAATTTTTTTGCAACATTCCTATAGTTGAATCACAAACACAGATCCTTAACTGTTGCACAAGAGGTCTGCAGCACTTTAGCTGTTGTAAGTAACAGATGTTGGAACATTTGCTTCTTCTGCATGCCCTGGACCCATCTGACTAATAAACTGACTAAACGTTCTGGCCTGGTTTGTTTAGGTTTTTAATCGCTTGGAGTTTACTCTCTTTGAAAAGAAACCAAACCACAGGGAAAAAAAAGTTGCAAGTTAAACTCTTCAGCTGATTCGAACCAAAGGAAACCAACTCTAGGCGTGAAAACCCTTAGTCAGAGCTTCACATTTATTCAGCATCATTTCTTTTTTTATTAAAACTGGAGTTACATTAAAAGGCAGATAAAGGCATTAGAAGTATTTTAGTAAGCCAGGAAGTGCTGCTAGCTTGAATTTAAAAATATGCCAGCTTGAAAAATAGTTTATTTTTTCATGAGTTGAGAGAGTAAACCTTGTAGATGTACTTTGTTCATGTTGTGCACTGATTGTGTCACTTGTGTGTACAACACATAGACATGAGAATTATATAAAGTAATTGTAGCAAAAATGTCGAGTGACATGTTTATCACTGCTAACTGTATTATTAGCCGTTAGCTTCTCTGTTTCTGTGACGTTAGCCTGATAGTCTGTTGGCTTAGAGAACCATGTGACCTTGGTGAGCACATTGGCTGCTCTCACTCTGTGATTTCCCTCCACTCTCCTGTAACCTCTGCTACTTTCTTTTTTATCCTTAATCCCCCTTCTCTTTTTCTTTTAATCTTTTCTTCCTCTGCCGTTTTGTCCGTCTCCATTTCCCGCTCTCCCCTCATCTCGTCCCTGACGTCAATGGGAAATTGGATGGTTTTTGATTACTACTTGGCTGTCAGGCTTACTGCTATTAATTGAATTGAATCCCTGTCCATCTCCTATATTTCTCTGCCCTCTTTCTGTTTCCTCCTTTCCTATTCATCTTGTCTGTTTTTTTTTTTTGGGAGGGCTTTTTTGTTTTATTTTTTTCCCCCTTTTTGACTTTCATGCTCCCCCCCTCTTTGTGTGCTTTTACTCATATCAGCTCTGCTTCCATTTTTTTTCCTCTCCCCATGTGCACTACCTCTTGTTCTCCTTTCCTGCCTGTTTCCTTTTCTATTTATTTCTCCATTTCCTCTCTCTCTCTCTCTCTCCCTCTCTCTCTTTCACACCATGCAACCGCTTCTTTTCCCTTCTTGTCCTTCTCGTCTCTTTTATACTCTACTTTCTTAATTTTTGGCTATACGCACACGCGCACACACACCTCTCTATTATCCTCTGCGCTCTTGCTCCTTGAGCACAGTGATACTGTTGTCATGGTGACGCCCATCATTTTCTGGCATGAATGGAGGATACTTTATTGATGAGATGGCATGGCAGAGGGAGAGAAAAGAAGAGTGATGGAGAGAAAGACAAAGACGCAAGGAAGAAAGAAATCACTGGCAGGGAAAATCAGAATGATATGGAAATGATCATCCCCGCTGCTTATGATACAAAACATTTCCAGCCTGTCATTTTCCTATTGCTGATTAGCTAAAGAGGATGCCACGAGACAAAAAAAAGCCAAATGTTCTCTGTATATTCAGTCCCCGTGAAAGAATATCCCTCAAAACCCAGCAATTCATCATTTTTTAGCGCATGTGAAGTCATCCTGGAGATTCCTGTTATCCGGCAGCAATGTGCTGCCTTCAGCAGCGCTCCCCGTTTAATCATTCTGCAGCACAAATATGTCAGCATATTAAAATGTGTTTTTCAAAATGAGTGCTGGTGTTTCCCTAAGGTTGGATGGACATCCTTATTAGCTTGTCGTGGTCTGATGTTTCCTCGGTGCAGCCAGGCGTCACTGTCTAAAGCAGAAGCTCATTAGATACGTCTGATGTAGACATTATATGGAGAGTCTGAGCACAGCATGTTAGGCAATACCTTCCTATCCAACACTCTATTTTAAACCAATGTATGATGAAATTAGACATTTTGTAAAGGCATTAATGCTCTAAGTCAACTAGAAATATAGTTACTTATGTCTCAGCTCTGCCAAGTAAACATTAAGTTGCCATGAAGCAGCTGTATTTGTTGCAGTGGAAAAATGATATTTTTGATTGGACTCAAAATTATATTTTGAGTCCAATCAAAAATGTGTGACGATGGGAATGAATGTTATCTTTAGCTAACTTGTGTCTGACATCTGACCTACAGTTCATCTGCTGTCTGAGACAATCCAAGGCGTGACGGCGACAGCCACCGGGGTCCAGTACCAGCAGTCCTGGCTCTGCATCCTGTAAGCATCTGTTCCTCTGTCTGGGTATTTTCATGCATGATGCCACAGCTTTTTTGTCTTTTGTTTTCAAACATTAGCATGAAAGAAATACTTTAATTTTGACACAATTTGTTGAAAAAAAAAGAACAAACCATGTTAAGCTTTTGCTTTTTATTACACCTGAAATTACATACATCTGAAGCTGCAGTATGTAAATTTTATATATTTCTGAAAACTTTCACTATTTTCTGACAGTATAGCAAAAGTCAGATAATATATCAAAAAAATCAAGCTCCTCCTCTTCCTCCTTGGCCTACTATTGTCGTCTGAAGAAACGCACCGTTCCCGACCAAAAAAAAACCCAATCAGAGCCAGGAGTAGGGTCTTAACGCTGTCAATCAGGCTTGTGTATGCAGAGCATCTGTGCTAATGGTGGAGAAACAACTTACAGTTACCGGAAAACTCTTTATCTGTCACCATCAGTGGTTATACTAACTATCTTGCGCATTCACAGGAGGTTGAGGTTCACTGACAGTGCTAAGCCCCTCCCCTTTGCTCTGATTGGTTGTTTCTGACTGGCAGCTGTGCATTTCTGCAGATGGCAGTAGGACAATAGGGAGAAGACTGGAGTTTTTTTCCCCACACATTATTTGTCTCAGCTTTAATTCATATGTAAAAACAAGCATTTATATATATATATATATATATATATATATATATATATATATATATATATATATAATTTTTGTAAGAAAAATAACATTCTGCATCTGTAACAGATTTTTTGTTGCATTTCTGACTAAATAACCACTGCACAATGCACAAAGAGAGAACATCTGAGCAAAAGCGTCGAAGCTATTGGACCTTTCAAACATACTGAAACATTACAGTAATAACTATTGTATGGGGGTAATGATTCAAATCTGAAATATGTGGTGTGCATTTGTGTTTAGCTCCTCTGAGTCGTTGAGCAATAACCTTCCAACAATTCAGACTTATGTCTTCATCAGCTTTTCTGACCTGAAACTTCTGCCCATTCTTCAGCTCAGTCCTGTTGCTCTTGCATAAAGAACATGCTTGCTTAACTAATAGTTGACTTCTTAACAAACTGTCCTGTCCAGGCGGTGGATCTTTGCAGGTTCTTCAGAGTGGTGACGGTCAGCTTGGCTGCTCCTCCGATCAACTCTCTGGGTTTTTCAGGTTTATTGGAATGTTCTGGTGAACTAAACCGAGCTCAGTGAGAACTAACTTAAAGCTTGTTATGCCGCTTTGAATAACCTGGTAGTTCGATTCTAGCTGCTAATTAGGCGACTTTTTTAGGGAAGTTTTTGTACCGGATTTTTTTTATTTACCTTGGGTGAGTCACTTCTTTTGTTTTTGTTTTTTTAATCCTTTTTAAAGACCGGAAAGTATCTATGAGATGATAATGTACCCTATAAAGCGTTTCATGCTTGGTAGGAGAGCATCAGTCATTTGTACAAGTGTCTCAAAACAGCACATTGATATTCAACTCACAGAGTTTTCTCTCTCCCTGTGTAATTATAAGAGCAAAGGAGGAAGTTAGCCGATGATGATAGTGTTAAAGTCCACCGTGGGAGAGGGTCAGCACGGGGGAGAGAATCAGCATAGCATCAGATTTTAATATCTGTTGCTTTTTGTTGGCTGTTTCCAACTAATGGTCATATCTCTATTTTTTTTAAAAGCAGGAACACAAATGAATTGTTGAATTCAGGAAGATTTTTTCAACCCAAATCTAATAATGCATGGAAAAGCTGTGTGTGTGTGTGTGTGTGTGTATGTGTGTGTGTGTGTATGTATATGTATATATATATATATATATATATATATATAAATCCTACATTTTTGTTCTGTGTTGTGTATTCAATATTCTGGATTTTGTCTTTACTGATGGATTGTTTTTATGTTGATGTTGCTTTGTCATTTAGTAATCACTCAGACATCCTTACCATACTGGTACCATTGGAAATCCCCTTTACAAAAAGCTTCTTCATGAATAAATGAATCAATTGAGAAATCACAAAGAAACTGTCTTAACCCTATAAGACATAAGTTTCAAATGTCTGCTTATTTTAATTGTGCACAGTTCTTTAAATGTCCAAATATATATTTGCCCATTTATCCATATTAACTGGAACTTTCAATATCTAGCGAGTTATTTGTGCAATTTATCATCTATTAAAAAAAGAGCTCTTCAGATTAATTTCACTCCCTTCTTTGGTGGGGGGTGAAATTACTGTAATAACATGATATTGTCTGGAAAATGCAACGTTTCCCCTTTCAGAAACCAGTGGAATTTCTCAGATAGCGCAAAGTTTGGCAGAACGATGGCACTGCAAATTTGGCTGGATTGTCACCGCTACATTCGGTCTGGAAGGGTTAAGGTGGAACAGCACAGGCTCCACCTTAAGAAACTCTGATTCTCTTATAAATGTATAAAAATGTACTGAATGGAATTACATAAGAAAACTTCTAAGGTCCTGTTTGAAACAAAAAGCTCTCTTGCTCCCCCAGTGATCCTGCATTATCCGTGTCCTCTAAAACTGACAGTGATGACTTTCTCTCTTTCTTTCTTTTTTATGAAAGTCAATAACGTCAGGGGAATAATGTCCATCAATGTGTCACAACTTGTTTTTTTATGTGGTTATATGTGTGTGTTCATATGTTCTGCTGCTGCCCTCTACACCTCTTTAATTGCCCCCCGGGAACAGATCAAGTTTTATTGAATTAAGCTGAATAACTTTGTTTCTGGCTCTCTGTTTTCTCAGTTTCTGTGTGTTTGATCCAGTAACTCTCCCTGACATTTCATCGTTACAGGATGACATAAAAATATCTACCTGTCCAAACGACATCCTGCTTGTTACGTTGTTTAAAAAATGTGTTTCCTGCCATTAGCTCTAATAACGTACTACAGGAATTCACAATATTCATTTTGAACAGGTCCACAGTTCTTTCAAACATGCTGTTGTTGAGCCCTTCTCAAAGAAGTGCTAATTGGAGCTAACACAGCATAAATATTGCAGGCCTTTCTATAATTTCTCCTTTATCTTAAAACTTCTAGAAAATGGTGTCAGACAAGCTCATTCCTTTTATGGCAAATCTTGTGAAATTCAGTCTGATTTTTATAAACTTTATTCCACATAAACTGATTTATTCAAAGTTTCTAAATTTCATGTTGGCTGACTCTGGAGCATCCTCTGTAATGCTTCTCCTGGAGTTTACATTTGCATTTCTCACTATTGATCACAGTATTCTGATTAACTATAGGCTCCCAGGTGTAGTCAGAATTGTGGGTTTAAGCTAACATAATATTTCAAGCATTATTTTTTTTGGTATTTTGGCATCTTCTGCCAAACCAAACCCCAGGAACTTTGGTATCATTTTTTTATTCTGCAATCCCACTTGCTAGAAAACCATTCCTCTTCTGAGAAATATTTCTAAACTACAAACTGTGGTGTTTAAAAGCCGAATCAGAGACGATTAATCTATTTCACGTCCTCTTGATTATCGGAGCAGCCTTTTCACATGTTTACTGTCTCCAGTCGGGTTTTAACCAACACATTTTAGAATTCGTTTTAAAATTTCAGTCCTTACTCTCAGAGCCCCATGTGGTCGAGCCGCAGCCTTTATCTCTGACTATCTGGAGCCTTACAGCTTTTCTGGCCGTCTGATATCGTCCCGTCTTGGGCTGCTAATGATTCCTCTAAACACATTTTAAGACCAGAGGGGAGAAATCTTTTAGAGCGGTGGCCCCCAGATGGTGGAACCCGCTGCCTTCATCTTTGTGATATCTTCATTCTGTTGATTCTTTTAGAAAGAAGCTGAAGAAAATTCATCCCGACAGGCTTGTAACCAGTTCTGTGCTGTACGATGTTAAATATTTCTTGTTTTACCTTTTATTATTCTACCTTCTGTGTTTATTATGCTGGTTTTTATTGTGTTTCTGGTTTCTGATCTGAGAAAAGTGACAGATTAATATTTTTTTTTACTTCACTTCATTTGTGAGGTCGCGTGTGAGCGAACACAAGTCTAGCCAGCAAATTTGAATGCTGTCTAACTGTTGCTCCACAGAAAGAGGTTAATCTATGGAAATGAAGGGCACCGCTGGTGGGCTGAGCCACTGACATTTGTAAAAAAAAAAAAAAAAAAAAAAACCCCCCCCTTTTTCCCCCCCCCGCCGCTGCAACGCCAAAAATCCCCAAGGGCCCCTTGGGGGTTTTCCC